TTTTATTTATTTTTTAGAGAGCGAGCGAGAGAGAAACAGCCTGAGAGGGGAGAGGGTCAGAGGGAGAAGCAGGCTCCCCGCCGAGCCGGGAGCCCGATGTGGGGCTCGATCCCAGGACCCTGGGATCATGACCTGAGCCGAAGGCAGACGCTTAACCATCTGAGCCACCCAGGCGCCCACAGTAGTAGTTTCTAATATTTATTGAGCAAATACAACATCCTGTGCTCAGCAGTCGGCATGAGTCCCGATTCAGTGCTCACCGCAGCCCTATTAGGTAGGAATCCTCGTCGAGGCCGTTTTACTTACGGGAACCCGAGGCCCAGGGAGGTCAGGCAAGCTTGCAGCCCCGTGGCCGCCCGACGCCGGTGGCCTTCTCCCGCTCCGATCCCTGTCCCGGCCGCAAGGAGGGCGGTGCTGATGCCCTGCCTCGTCCCTCCGGCGCAGGTACACCTCCCGGTCGCGCTGCTACTCCGAGACTCCCTCGTCCTTCCTGCGCTGGCTGAGCCAGCAGACGCGCTGGTCCAAGTCCTACTTCCGCGAGTGGCTGTACAACGCGCTCTGGTGGCACCGCCACCACGCGTGGATGACCTACGAGGCCGTGGTCTCGGGGCTCTTCCCCTTCTTCGTGGCGGCCACCGTGCTGCGGCTCTTCTACGCGGGCCGCCCGTGGGCGCTGCTGTGGGTGCTGCTGTGCGTGCAGGGCGTGGCGCTGGCCAAGGCGGCCTTCGCGGCCTGGCTGCGCGGCTGCGCGCGCATGGTGCTGCTCTCGCTCTACGCGCCGCTCTACATGGGCGGCCTCCTGCCCGCCAAGTTCCTGGCGCTGGCCACCATGAACCAGAGCGGCTGGGGCACCTCTGGCCGGCGGACGCTGGCCGCCAACTACGTCCCCCTGCTGCCGCTGGCCGTCTGGGCTCTGCTGCTGCTGGGAGGCCTGGTCCGCAGCGTGGTGCGCGAGGCCCGGGCCGACTGGAGCGGCCCTGCCCGCGCCGCCGAGGCCCACCACCTGGCCGCCGGCGCTGGCGCCTACGTGGGGTACTGGGTGGTCATGCTGGCGCTCTACTGGGTGGGCGTGCGGAGGCTCTGCCGGCGGCGGTCGGGTGGCTACCGGGTCCAGGTGTGAGTCCAGGTGTGCGGGCTGCTCGCCCGAGGGACTTCAGGGGAGGCGAGAGGAAACCCGCGGGGAGGGGGGGGGGGGGGGAACAGGAGCCACGCCCTTGCCGGGTGATTCTCTGGGCCTCAGTTTCCCTCCTCTGTGAAGCGAGGGGGTGGACCCAAGATTCTTCAACCTGGACTGTTTTGGGGCTGGGACTTCAGGGTCCCTGGGGAGGGGTATTTATTGATCAGGGCGTGCATTTTTAGGGGTGGGGGGACAAGGGTCCCCACATGCTGTCCAGGGGCCTGCTTTCTCCCTGTTCTTATTTAATATCCATTTGTACTGTGTGATTAGGATATAATAAAGAATTTTATTTATTTTCTTCTGAGTCTCCCCCCCCCCTTTTTTTTTTGAGAACTGAAGGGCTACATGGTCGAAGGTTGGGGACTCGTGGCTCTGTCTTGGGTACCAGCTGTTCGAATGTAGACAGGCTCCTTCCTCGGGAAATGGATAATAATCCCATGGGTCAGTTGTGAGGGTGAAATTTCTCAACTTCTCATCACCGATACTTACGCAGTGCCTACTATGTGGGGACACTCTTAGGTACCGTGGAGGGCCTTTCCCTGGTCCATCCACTTGGCTACTGTCTAAGAAAGGTAAGTCATACCTTGTCTCCTCAAACGCCTAGCACCTCACTCTTAGCTTGCTTTCCATCTCACTGGGAAAACAAAGGTGACGAAGAAAACTTTCAGTCCCACCTGCACGTCTTTCCACTGATTTGCATCTGTGCCCACACAGGCCACCTTCCCCCATTCGTGAGGGCGAACTGCCTGTTCCAATGCCAACCCCTTCCACTGGGGCACTGGACCTCATACCCTCTGGTCTACTCAAAGATCTCACTGCTTCTGTTCTTCCCACGTCATCAATTCTTGCCTCCCCACGGGTCTTTCCCCTCAGCATCCAAATGTGCTGTCATTCTCCGATTTTTTAAATACATTTTAAAAAGATTTTTATTTACTTATTTGATAGAGTGAGCGAGTGAGAGAGCACAAGCATCGGGAGCGGCAGAGGGAGAGGGAGAAGCAGGCTCTCCGCTGAGCAGGGAGCCCCATGCGGGGCTTGATCCCAGGACCCCGGGATCATGACCTGAGCCGAAGGCAGACACTCAACCAACTGAGCCACCCAGTGCCCCTCACTCTCTGATTTTTAAGACTCCCTGTCTTGACCTATTTCCTCCTGAACTACTGTCTCATTTTTTTTTAAGTAATCTCTACCCCCAGTGGGGCTCAAACTCATGACCCCGAGATCAAGATCTTCTGCATGATCTACCGACTGAGCCAGCCAGGCACCCCATCCTGTCTCATTTCTAACAGCAAAACTCCTTGAGAGCTGTTTATATTTGTCTCCAATTTCTCTCCCACAAAGTTCAGCCATGTCAAGTGTGTAATTCAGTGGTTTTTAGTAAGTTTATAGACTTGTGCAACCATTACCATAATCTGATTTTAGAACATTTCCCTCACCCCCAAAGAGGAATCCTATGACCACCGGCAGTCCCTTTCATTCCTCACCCCAAAACCACCTCGATGCCCTAGGCAACCATAATCTACTCTCTGTCTCTACAGATTTGCATGTATCACTGGCTCATTCCTTTTTATTGCCAAATAATATTCCATTGTAGGGAAGTATCACATTTGGTTTATGCATTTATCAGTTGATGGACATTTGCGATGTTTCCATTTTTTGGCCACTGTGAATAATGTTATGAACATTCACATACAAGTTTTTGTGTGAACACAGGTTAAATTCTCTGGGAATGGAGTTGCTGAGTCATATGGTGATCCTGTTTAATTTATTGAGGAAGTGCCAGATGGTTTTCACAATGCCAGTACCATTTTATATTCCTACCAGCAAAGTAGGAGGGTTCCGAATTCCTTACATCCTCACCAACATTTGTTATCACCTGACTTAAAAAAAAAGATTTTATTTATTTGAGAGAGAGAGCGTGAGTGGGATGAGGGGTTGAGGGAGAGGGAGAAGCAGACTCCCCGCTAAGCAGGGAGCCCGACGCGGGGCTCGATCGAAGGACCCTGGGACCATGACCTGAGCCGAAGGCAGACGCTTAACCGACGGAGCCACCCAGGTGCCCCTCACCTGACTTTTTGATTATAGCCTCCCAGGGGGTGTGAAATGGTATCTCACTGTGGTTTTGATTTGCATTTCCCTGATGACGAGTGTGGCTTAAACCCATGCCAGTCAGCTGGCTCCCCCCCACCGCTCTATGGAAATGGCTCTGGTCAGGTTCATCAGTGATGTCCAGCTTGCTAAAACCAATGGCCAGTTCTCAGGTCTTCTCTTGCACCATGTGGCAGCATGTGACCCAGCTGATCACTATCTCCTTGAAATGTTTTCTTCGCCTGGCTTTCAGAATGCCACAGCTGCCTTGCTTTCCCCGTTTTTCCTTCTCAGTTCCTCTTCATGGTTCGGACTGCTTACCTTTGGAGAAACCTCCTCCTACCCACTTCTCTTATCCGTCTACACTCATTTCCTCTGTGTATCCAGCGGCGTGGCTCTGCGTGCCTCATTCACGCTCCATGCCTGGAGAGGGGGCTCTGCAACTTGTATCTTCAGATCAGACCTCACCTCTAAATTCCTGGACTTTTTTTTTTCATTCACTCATTCTTTGATGATGTCAATCAGTCCCCAAACCATTTACTAAGTATGTACTGAATTCCACATTTTGCCGGGTTTGCAAATACCGAAATGAATCAGAGGCAGCCCCTGCCTTCCAGTAGCTCCTAGTCAAGTAAACAAAGAGTGTGATCCAGAGTTATACCCCGGGTCCCCAGACACCTGCCTCTGTGACTTGTTTTCATAGATGAGGGACAATTTAAATTATTAAAGCTATAAAAGATGATAAATTTAGCTCTCCTCGGGGGTGCCTGGGTGGCTCAGTCGGTTAAGCCATCTTCCTTCGGCTCGGGTCTTGATCCCAGGGTCCTGGGATTGAGTCGGAGGTTGGGCTCCCTGCTCAGCAGGGAACCTGCTTCTCCCTCTGCCTCTGCTCCCTCCCGCTCTCTCCCTCACTCTCTCTCAAATAAAATCTTAAAAAAAATAAATTTAGCTCCTCAGTGTCACTGGCCACATTTGACCTGCTTCATGGCCACAGGTGGCTGGAGGCCACCACATGGACAGTGCACATCTAGAATGTTCCCGTCATGGCAGAGGGTTCTACTGACATTGCGGCTGCCATGACCATTGACACCTGCCCCTTCTCTTTTCTTCCCCTCACACCCAACATTCTGATCCATCAGCAAACCCCACTGGTTCTACCTTCAGGACGGATCTAGAACCACTGCTCCTCACTGTCACCACTTTGTCCCCGAGCTGCATCTCCTTCCTGGATTAAAGCTGTCCAGATTACCACAGCACCTAACAGCAGTTCCTAGTTCCACCCCTGCCCCCTACAGTTTATCCATGCAGTAGCCATGCAACTCAAATCATATCATGACCTTCCTCGTCTCAAAAACTGCCCATAACTCTCATCTCAGGAAAATCCAGACCTTAAAGTGGCCAAGGTCCTCCATGATCTGGTCCCCTCACATCCTCTCTGACCTCACTGCCTACTCTTTCCTAAAGTTCTGCTCCAGATGCCTCCCGGCCACGTCCCCAACACTAGGCACACGCAGGGGCTTTTGTCCCTGCTGTTTTTGCTTTGATCCATGTCTTATTGCGCTTAATTTTCTTGTTTATTATCTAACCATCCATTACAATCTAAACTCCATGGGGCACCTGGGTAGCTCAGTCGGTTAAGCATCTGACTCTTGATTTCAGCTCAGGTCATGATGTCAGGGTTGTGAGATCGAGCCCCACGTTGGGCTCCACATTGGGTGTGGAGCCTGCTTAAGATTCTTTCTCTCCTTCTCCCTCTGCCCCCCCCCCACCAAAAGAATCTACACTCCATGAGGGTGCAGATTTTTGTCTGTTCTGATTTCTTCACTGCTGTCTCTACAGTACCTTGAAAATGCCTGGCACATAGAAGTACTCAGTAAATATTCTCTGAATGAGTGAGTCAGTAAAGGGGACTATATCAGTGAACAAGAATGAGTAGATGCCCAGAAGGAACTTATCCTTTAGGTGGGAAGACACAAACCCAAATAAAAAACACAAGTTGACATTAAGTCCCAATGAGTACTGTGCACAAGCCAAAATAGGGGGAGGGAAGTAGTCAGAGAAGATGACATTTGAGCGGGGAGCTGTGAGAGGGAGGTAGCTCCGTGAGGTTCACAGTAAAGTCATGTCAAGTATGAAGGACAGCATGTGCAAAAGCCCGAACATGGGACTGAGCTTTGTGTGTTCAAGGGACAAAAAAAAAAAAAAAAAAAAAGGCTAGTGGGGCTAGAGGGTAAAGAGGGGAACAAGAAAAGGGAGGTGGAGTCCGGCAAAAATAGCACCAGATACACAGACTCATCGTGGGGATTAAATAGGTTAATATATGTAAAGGCTTTTCAGGGGAAACTGTAACTGAGTTAACTAGACACAAAAGGGAGAAAACCTTATTCTAGGCAGGGAACAGCACGTAACCAGGTCCTGGAGAGGGTGACAAGAATCATGACAAATGTAAGGAATAAGCAAAGGCCAGACGAAGTGCAGGGTGAAAAGATCAAGGGAGAAGAGTGGTAGGGGACAAGGCCTGCCAGGTCAGCAAGGGCCAGAACCTGGAGCATCTTAGAGGCCTTGACAAGGAATTGGATTTGTTCCAATGGCAATAGGGAGCCACCAAAGGCTTTTGAGCAGAGGAGTGACATGATCTGACATACTTTAAAATATTACTCTGGCTGCCATGTGGAGGATGGACCGGAGTGAGGCAAGGCTGATTCGGGGCAGGGAGGCGAGTGGGGATGCTGCTGCAGTGATCCAGGCAAGAGACGATGGTGACTGGGACCACAGACAGAGGGCAGCTACACAAGATGTTTAGGAGTTAAAAAGGCTGAGTCACGGAAGTAGAAGTGGGGGAGGAATTAAACGCGGGTTTCGGGATGAGCAGCTGGGTGGATGGTGGTGACTTCAGCAGGAAAGCCTTGCGGAGGAACAGGCGTTCAGAGAGACATCAAGGGCAGCGCTTTCTGCCCACAGGTCCTGTCCCCATGCTTTAATAAAATCACCTTCTTGCACAAAACAAACAAACAAAAACAACAACAAAAAACCCAAAGAGACATCAAGGAATCCATCTGAGGGTATCGTCTGCAAGTTGAAATGTCAAAGAGACAGTCAGCAATCTAGGGACGGGTCTGGGCTTGTACGGAAAGTCCTCAGCACAGGACCTTGCATGTACCTTGACAGCTCTACATATTACTGTCACTAAAGGAATAGTCACCTGGGCATATTTGGGGTATGCTGCCCCTCCTCCTACCTGCGTTAGCGGTGACCACCTTCAAAGATGAAAGAATCTACAGAGCTGAAATATATTCTTTATTTTAGGAATGAAAACCGGATAAGGAAGTAAGAAAAAGATACCTTTGTTAGTTGCCCTTGAAGTACCATCGAACGAACGTCCTGGGGAAACAAGGAGGCATTTGTGTTGGTGGGAAAGGTTTGGGATTAGATATCTGGGTCCTGGAAGCCTGGGTCCCAAAGGTAGACAAGGCCTGCACTCTTGGATCTGAGAGAAGAGGGCCTATGGGCTTGGACTCCTGAAACTGGAGGAGGAAGGGACTGGGGGCCTGGACTCCTGGGTCTGAGGGTGGAGGGAGGTGGGGGCCTGGACTCCTGGGTCTGAGGGTGGAGGGAGGTGGGGGCCTGGACTCCTGGGTCTGAGGG